GTATTTATGATTGTTAGAATTATCCTTAGTATCATTACTGTTATACTTAGTTAATTATAATTATAATTAATTATAATTGTTTTTGTTATTGTTATTGTTATTGTAATTATTATTGTTATTGTAATTGTTATTGATATTGTTATTATTATTATCATCATTATTATTATTATTATTATTATTATTATTATTATTATTATTATTATTAGTTGTAGTATTGTTGTTGTTGTTGTTGTTAAGTGCTTAGTCTTACGTACCTCACCTGTTTACCCTTTTCCTCGACTTTTGGAAACGGTCTTTTGCATTATTTCATTGTCTTAAGTGTTACCAAGATGTAAATAACAATTTAATAATCCTAACATCAATAACATTAATAACAGTATTGACACCAAATGTATTTAAAAGAAAAACACATTTTCCTGCCAATTCAAGGAATGGAGAAAACAGGATCAGTTAGTAGGGCTACTGATAGACTCCTTGCTGGCTGAACACATGTGAAGTGCGTGAACAATTTCCTCGACTTTTGGAAACGGTCTTTTGCATTATTTCATTGTCTTAAGTGTTACCAAGATGTAAATAACAATTTAATAATCCTAACATCAATAACATTAATAACAGTATTGACACCAAATGTATTTAAAAGAAAAACACATTTTCCTGCCAATTCAAGGAATGGAGAAAACAGGATCAGTTAGTAGGGCTACTGATAGACTCCTTGCTGGCTGAACACATGTGAAGTGCGTGAACAACTTTCACAAAAAAATACAGGGGACAGAACATAAATCCGGGATGAAAGGGTTAATAGTAATAGTTGTTATTGTTATTTTTATTGTTTTTGTTAGTAATAAATGTTATTATTGGTATATATTTTTTGGTATTTTTATTATTATTATTGTTATTGTTTTGGTATTATTATTGTTATTGTTATTATCATTATCATTATCATTATCATTATTATTATTATTATTGCCATTATGATTATGATTAGAATTATGATTGCTATTGTTGTTATAATGATTTTGTATTTTATTTTTCCTTTATTTTTAATTTTATTGTTATTTTTAGAAATATCTTGGTCATTTCTTTTGTTTATGGGTACTTTCATGATTGTTTTTCTTATTTTTGATATTCTAACATTTTTGTTAATGTTGTTATTATTATTATTATTATTATTATTATTATTATTATTATTATTATTATTATTATTATTATTATTATTATTATTATTATTATTATTATCATTATTGTTATTGCTATTGTTATTGATATTATTATTATTATTGTTGTTGTTGTTATAATAATAATTATTATTATTATTGTATAATATGATATAATATATTAATTATATTATTATTATTGTTGTTATTATTATTATTATTATTATTGTTATTATTATTATTTTATTATTATAATATTGTATTATTATAATGTCATTCTGTTATTGTAATATTATTCTATTATTCTATTATTTTATTATTTTATTATTCTATTATTATTATTATTATTATTTTTTATTGATGGTATTATTTCAAATGGTACTTTTATTATTTGTTTTGATTTTATTATTATTGATTTTGTTATTGTTATTATTATTATTATTATTATTATCATCTTTATCTTTATCTTTATCTTTATCTTTATCTTTATCTTTATCTTTATCTTTATCTTTTTATCTTTATCTTTATCTTTATCTTTATCTTTATCTTTATCTTTATCTTTATCTTTATCTTTATCTTTATCTTTATCTTTATCTTTATCTTTATCTTTATCTTTATCTTTATCTTTATCTTTATCTTTATCTTTATCTTTATCTTTATCTTTATCTTTATCTTTATCTTTATCTTTATCTATGTTATTATTATCATTATTATTATTGTTATTCTTATTCATATTGATGTCATCATCATCATCAATAATCATCAATATTATTGTTGTCATTGTCGTTACCACTGTTACTGTTGCTGTTCTTATTGTATTGTTTATATTTGTTATATTTGTTATTTGTGTGAATGATGATATTAATGTCTACTAATATTGCTAATAATAAAAAGAATAATGATAATTATTTTTAAAAATTATTTAGCATTAGTATTAGCATCACTGTTACTACTACTACTACAACTACAACTACACTATTAGTAGTGTTATTTTGTACTAGTACTACTAGTACTACTAGTACTACTAGTGCTAATACAACTACAAAGGATTATTATTTTTGTTATTATTATTATTGTTATTATTATTATTATTATTATTATTATCATTATCATTATCATTATTATTTATTGTTATTAATCATGTTATTATTGTTGTTATTATTTTATTATTATTATTAGTGTTGATATCATTATCATTTTCATTGACATTATCATTGGCATTATTATTCTTATAATTACTATCATCATTGTCATATTTGTTATTATTATTGTTAATATTAATTTTACAATGTTGAAACTGCTACAGCTGCAGCTGCTTCTTTTGCTGTGTGTTGTCGGTATTATCAGCATTATTTTTAAGTTACATAAAATTATATATATTATAATTATTATTATCATTAATATTATTATAATTATTGGTTTTATTATTATCACTTTTGTCATTGTTATTGTTATTATTAATCATTATTATTATTATTGCTGTTACCATCATCATCATCTTTATTAATTTTATTAATGTTACTTTGAGTACTGCTATTATTATTGCTATTATTATAATCATCATTATCAATGCTATTATTATTGTTGTTTTTATTGTTATTATTATTATTATTATTAGTAGTAGTAGTAGTAGTAGTAGTAGTAGCCATCATTATTGTTTGTATTATTTCATTATATTTTTCTCTTATGAATGTCATTGTTATTCTTTTAATTTTATTTTTTATATTACTTTTATTGTAATTATTATCTTTATTAGTGTTCCAAAAGTACTACAATTTACCAATGATTTGTTAAGTTTAGCATCACAATTATATTCCAATATTTCAATGCTATCCCTTATTTACCACAGTGTGCAACGTTGCAACACAGATTCATGAGTTAGATTTGCTTAATGTGGATGGTCTCATCATGGGAAAAAATTGAATAGTATGTCCATGCACAGGAGCCAGTTCCTTCCCACTGTTACCAGAGGGGTAGTGTGTGTTATGGAAAATTGAAATATACAAAAATATAAAGAATAACTCAAAACACAGTATATCTTAATTTTATTAATGCACAGAGTGTAAACTACCTGGAGAGATAATATTGAGTCTGCTCATTGAAAACAGTCTGTTATCATCTACAGCATAATTTATCACAAATATAGGAATATGAAAAAGGCAAAACAACAATCCCAGAAATGCAGAGATACTCCTACTACAGCACAAAAAAGAAAAGTCTTTGTATCTGCTACGGGCAAACACATTTCTGGGCACTGCATTAATGATAATGTTAGCCAATAAAGGTGCTGACAGCTTCTGACCTCCTTGTGAATAAAGGTGCCTGATGATACTGAAAGATACAAAAATGGTATTCAGATCTGTACATCTTCAAAGAAATTTTGAAATTTATGTGCTAATAGTCTCCAGATGAAGAAGTTGCAGTTCATGCCTAATAAAAGTAATCTAAGCCATGTTCACATAAAAAAAAGAAACAGAAAATTAAAATAAGTGATGGCATAGTAATTTCAGACAATTTGTTTAAAATGTTATGACATCATTTTCCAAGAGAAAAAAAAGAAAAAGATAAAGTTGTTCACATTGTGGAGGTTTATTATTTTATCAAATACAAAGAAAAGACAAGTAGAACAACAAAGGAAACTACAGGACAACACACATATATGCAGAAGGCCTTTTTACCAGATGAAACAATAAAGTGAAAAGGCCTTTGGCTTATTCGTGTGTTTTCCTGTACTTCCCTTCATTGTTCTATATGCAATTTATTTGACATGAATTCCACACAAAGAAAAGAATTTAGAATTTAGAGACAATTCTAATTATGAAATAATCAGTGAGCAAGATTTTTGTTGTGATAGGTATATTAACCCCTCTCTAGTTTCTTCACTTTATTTCAGGTATCATTTGAAAATCCTTTTCAAGGCAAAATAAACAGCCTTTATAGATTTTGTATATTCTCACAATTTGTGTGGTTCTAGTTTAAAAATAATAGGCAACATAATCAGCAAATGCAATTTAGTCTTATGCAAACTATTTTGCATATAGGGAATTGAGAAAGTACATTATTTTGTGCCTTCTGTGATGAATAAAATTATATGAACAAGTAAAATTGATCCTCAAATAACCTAGTGTATGCAAATTTTATCATGAGCATATATAGGTCAATGAATATGAATGCACATATACTTTCATATTTTCTAGATGGAGTCATGAATGCAATATTGGTTTATTATGAGCATTTGATAATATAAATATTTCACCACTGGAATAATGGGAGAAATGGGTGATAGCATTCAACATGCTTACCAGTTTCCAGCATACCCAGTCCTGGCTCTTTCTTCCTTGTCCACCATTAACTTCACTTGCTCTTCAGCTTTGACTAGTTGGTTTTAGACTAAATTTATTCATAGAGAGTAAGAATAAGCTGAACTGCAAGGCAGTGCATTGCATGTGTTTATATCATAAGGTCTTTGGTGGGCCTATGCTATAGCATTTACAAGTTCACATTGCTGCAACCTTCACATCTCAGCTTTTTATCTCAACACCCAATAAGGAATATCAAAATAATATAAAGGAAGGGTACACTAATGAAACACAAATGTCTTGTATTTCACATCAACACTTTCCTTTGATGTGATTTACTGTAATTTGTATACAGTGTAGAACAATTTTGTGTATATATAGACCATCTCCAGTGATGCAAGAAAGAATTTTTACATTTATATATCTATGAGACACCCCCTTATAAAGCTACCTACCTACTTCATGACAATAGTCTTACATAGGTCAATGCTAGTAGGACAGTAGGTTCATTAGAGAATGAAGAACTAATTTTGCCCTGATTTCCCAGGTGTTTGAGGCATGGCTGACCCAATGTTTGTTGCCCAGCGTACTTCCTCCAACCAGCTTTCTCTCAACATAAGTGACGTCAGTGAGTATTCAAGATCCTGCTTTTGTTCTCTGCTTTCCTGGGTGAAGAGTTTACTTATTGATAAATAACTATTATAGCCATTTCACTATATAATTTAACACCCCCAGATGCATCTTGAGTACATAGTTCATGTAGGTAATATTATTATAAAATATGAGCAAATCTCTTTGAGTTCATTTTCTGGAATATTAAGGATGTACCCACTTCAGGATGTAGCTTCTGTAAATGAAACTTAGGGCTTAAATTAGAAAGTTAATTTTCCAAGGGAAGGCCACCGAGAAATGGCCATTGGAGTCCTTTACTTATTTAACAATATGATAAGCACATCCTTATTGTAGAACATTTTGGCACATGAGCTGGACATGGCATGTGTTATCAGTTATTGAACTTGTTCAGTATAGATTACGCAACAGTATATGGTATGTTAGAAGACATTTTCATTTCAATTATTTTTTACCTGTAGATCTGCCAGAACTTCACTGAATTTAGAATTACAGAGGTTCATTTATGTATTTCTAAGTATGTCAGAAATACGATATGAAATGCTTGATGTTTATCTCTTGTTGTCAAGTTTAGGAGGAGTGAAATTTTAATTGTCGATTGATATAGTAAAATTGTCTTTTTGTTACTACCAAGCATACCTCAAGAACAAAGATTAAATTCAAAATAATATGCCATATGAGTTCAAAGAGCTGAGCCAAATTCAAAATTAAGTCACATTCATAATACATTTATAAAATGATTTTTCATAATGGTATTTTGTACAGCTGTCACAACCTATTGCTGCTGGGGATGGCAAGTACATACATGCCATGCCTACTATGAGTTTGATTTTTTTTATTTATTGTCTTTATATATATGTGTCTCCACAAGTCCTTAACCCTACAATGATGGTGCCAGAAAGTTCTGTATATCACTCATTCCAGTGACTTTTGGCTGGGGAGTTTGTTGCATTTAGCTGAACTGCATGCTCGCCTTGCTTTAGAGAGCCGTAATACCTATAGGCATACCTGTCATGATTAGTTGTTTTTTCATGATGGCTATAGGTGTGCCTGGCTATTAAAAGCAAATCACCAAGTAGTCAAATACTAATACTACCTATCACACCTGTTTACCCTTTTTCATGCCTTTGGAAATTTTCTCTCTTACTTGTATTACTATTAGTAATAACATTTTGATAATGATAAAGTCGGTGTTGATATTGATAGCATTAGTAAAACAAACATATTTCTTGAAAACTCCAGGAAAGGTTAATCAGATGAGATCATGTGGTCTATTAATTGGCTCCTTGGTGGTTGAGCACTTGTAGAGCCATCTGTGTGTATAGACATCGCAAAATAAAACTGTAGTCAGCATTATATTTTCCTGCCATCATGGGGTCAAGTTGAAACAATAATTTAAAGAAGACATTGTTGAAGCAAAGGGAATTGATGATGTGAATAGATTGTGAGGAAAAGATTTTAGAGAAAGATTAGTAGCAGAAACAGTTTGTCTGAAAGTAAATAAAAGTCACAAAGGGATAATTTAGTTATCATGCAGGATAAAACTTGCTATACCCTGTTTACCATTTCATACAAAGAGTTCATGTGACAGCTCTCAAGCATTCTTTTCAAAGGCTTGAAAGATTTTTTTTTTTTCAATATAAGTGAAGAGAAACTGTAAACATCTGCTGTTAGCCATTCTAATACCAGATGTTTACATTTTGTTGGCTGCTTTCCCTTTATTATACTAGTCAATTGAATTTCTATTAGAAAGGAAGTAATGGAAAGTTGGTAAAATGATTATGATAGGTATGATATGCTTTTTAAAAAGATATGGAGTCTGCTTTGTATCTACATTTTAGTTTGTATCAACATTTTAGTTTTTCTTGCCCGCTGTACTTTTGCTTGGTCAGTTTTGATACATACAGATGACTTCACTCTCCAAAGAGTCAATTAACAAGGCCTCCCAGACCTTACCTGTTTATCTCATTCCTTATTTTTTTTTATTGAAATTGGTTTTACCTCTGATCCTATTGTTAATTTTAATGCTTTGCATTTGTTATACTCTTTTGATAATTTAATCATTATTAGAATAAAACTTTCTGAAAATTCAAAAAATGGGTTAAAAAGGTGAGATCAGGTAAACCAAGTAATTGATTTCTTTATGACTAAGAACTCGTTGAGCCATGTACTTGGAAACAAAATTAATCCCTTAGAACTGCAAACCCTCCACAAAACCCAGCCACAAAATAGACAATATTTTTCAAGTTTCACAAAGGAAGGTTATGGTTGCAACTATTTCAAGATTGCACACCAGAAAGTGTGTATTTCATTTTTAAATCTCAAATATGGAGTGTTAGAGTGCACAGTTATCACATCTACTTGTGAAGTATTTTGTCATATGGAATTATATAATGTGTATATATATGTAATTATAAGTATTAGATGTATAAATAGTAGGGATGCTGATGTACCAGGTATTAACACTGATACATAATAGTGTGGGTCCGGCTTTAGAATATAGTCCCACCGTATCCCCTGCGTGTCGTAAGAGGCGACTAAAAGAGGTTGGCGGCAGGAAGGGCATCCGGCCGTAAAAACCCCTGCCAAGCCAATAAATGATGCGGATCATGCGATGTAGCACTCAATGGAGAGACGAATGAGGAGGTGGAAGAGAGGTTGGAACAGTGGAGAAAGGCAATGGAAGAGCGAGGCATGAAGGTTAGCAGACAGAAGACCGAGTACCTCTGCATGGGCGAACAAGAGCCAGAGAGAGAAGTGAGGATGCAGGGAGCGAAGCTAAACCGAGTCCAAGAATTCAAGTACCTGGGCTCCACGGTGCAGTGTGACGGAGGGTCGGATAAGGAAGTAGGGAAGAGGATCCAGGCGGGTTGGAACGCATGGAGGAAGATTACTGGAGTACTCTGTGACATGAAATTTGTTCCAGACCCATACTTCATACTTCCAGACCCACGTCTCCAGACCCACGTCTCCAGACCCACGTCTCCAGACCCACGTCTCCAGACCCACGTCTCCAGACTTCATACTTCCAGACCCACACTTCATACTTCCAGACCCATACTTCATACTTCCAGACCCACGTCTCCAGACCCACGTCTCCAGACCCACGTCTCCAGACCCACGTCTCCAGACCCACGTCTCCAGAGGCAAAGATGAATGTGGCAGAAATGAGGATGCTAAGGATCGCGCTGGGGAAGACGAGACGGAGGGGGAGGCCCTGGATAGGGCAGAGTGGAGGAGGAAGATCCGCACCGGCGACCCCAGTTGAACTGGGACAAAAGCCTGTAGAAGAAGAAGAAGAAGACATAATAGTATAGTGTATGGAGAGGGAATGTGGGTAGAGGAAAAGAAATAGGGTTTAGCTAGATGAAATATGTCATACAGCACTAGAATTATTACTTTAACTCATGATGTTTCATTCATAAGAAGATTGAAGCATTAAAGTATGATGTGTGATTTGCTCAGGTGAAGGAGGCTTTTCAAGGGGAGTGGGGGCATGGTAGTGATATTTGGGCGTAATTCATTCTGTTAAAGCCTGATAGATAGATCCACTTTTTAACATACCCATTCATATATTAAAAGGCAAATCCTTTGTATTTGTGGTAACTTGGTTTTTAATTTCAGTTGATATTATTGGTCAAGATGACCCTGATTATGCAGCATCAGCCATTTCGGTGTATGGAGGGGTACAGATGGGAGGAGGGGGAGGAGGAGGGGCTGCAAGTGAAGCAAACTTTTCTACCATTTCCTCTGCGAGTAGACCTGACCCCGATCTGGAGAGCAAACGTAAAGCCTTTGTAAGTATTATGTCATTCAGGTATCGTATTTCTTGTATATAACTCATACATTGTCACGTATGATTTGATGACATTATAGTTCGAAATACAGTATTGGAACCTAATAGGCATATGTGTTTTTTTTTTTTTTTTTCCCCCCAAATATTTTAGGTACGTATTATAGAACAGCCCCAGGCTAAGGCACTCCGTTTTCGTTATATTTGTGAAGGACGTTCAGCTGGGTCAATACCAGGAGTTCGAAGTACAACAGAAAATAAAACTTACCCAGCTATTCAGGTGTGTGATACTCTTTTCTGTTTATATTAGAAATATATATTGTAATGCTTAGAATTAACAAAGTTTTATAGAAAGCTAAGGTAGAAGTAAATCTCTTTGCATATCATATGTAGTAAATGTCTGAATTTGAGATTTTTAAAGATTTACTATGAAAGCACTGAAAGAGGATTTCAATTTCAAGTGTAAGGCTTTTAGATTGATGTATATTGTACAGAAAAAGAAAGGAAGAATATGCATTTAGTAAGGCTTCACTCTTTAATCCTTTTAATAGACTCATTTTGTTCTTGTCATCAGGTGGTAGGATACAAAGGGCCTGCTGTGGTGGTGGTGTCCTGCGTCACTGTTGACCCACCGTACCGACCCCACCCACACAACTTGGTGGGGAAGGAAGGATGCAAAAAAGGCGTGTGTACAATGACCATTAACAATGACTCCATGCAGTGTGTCTTTAGCAACTTGGGAATCCAGTGTGTCAAAAAGCGTGATGTGGAAGATGCCCTCAAGTTACGAGAGGAGATTAGAGTGGACCCTTTCCAGAGTGAGTTGGGAGCAGTGGATGTTCTATTAATGATTTCTGAATTTGTTGGTTTGGATTTTCATGGATGTATATACACTCTTGTTGATTAGGTAATTAATGTATTTGATATAAATTGAAAACTATTTCAAAATGAGCTTGAATTAAAAATCGTATTAGTATTTAGTCTAAATGTGAAGAAGCACTCTGTGAGAACTGGTAAAAGCTATTTTGGTTTGTTTGGTTTGGTTATGATACTATTCCTTTGTTTTGCAGCTGGGTTTTCTCATCGTAACCAGCCACAGAGTATTGACCTTAATGCTCTGAGATTGTGTTTTCAAGTATTCCTTGAGGGATCAGAAAAGGGAAAATTTACCTTCCCTTTAAAACCACAGGTTTCAGATCCAATTTATGACAAAAGTAAGTTCCATGTGATTTTAATTGGTATATTTGTTTTGTTGCATCTTCTGTCAATTCAGCTGCTTGTCTAGTTCTGTGTTTAGTCTCTTTTAGTCTGTTTTTCCTTCTTTGCCCTTTGCATAGTAAGTAGCTTGCTTGTATCCTGTATAAACTATAAGGTTTATTGATCCATCCAATCAACTGCTAGTCCCTTCTTCCTGATTTGCCTCTTTCCTAATTTCATCCTATCTTCTCATACATTTTGGTTTCCTTATCTTCTCTTTCTTTTTCTTTTTGCCATCCTTTCGTTGTATTTCCTCTCTCTTATCTTTCCTTTTTTAGCTTTCCTTTAGGCTTCCTATGCCAACACATCGCCATTTATGAAATAATTTCTTGATTCATTTATTTATTTATTTATTCCAGATGTCAAACAGGGATATCAATGTATTCTCTTGTGTCTTATATATTTCATGTAAAGAGATTTCATTAAATATTAAGTTATCCCTTGTCAGTGGGGAAAAAAGCAACAGGAAAATGTGGCAGTAGAAAAATGTGACTTGTTTGTTTCTATTTCAATATATGACCTGAATCTTCTCTGGCAGAGGCCACATCAGATCTGATTATCTGCAAGCTCAGTGACTGCACGAGCAGTGTGGCTGGTGGCAAAGAGATTATTCTCCTCTGTGATAAAGTTACTAAAGGTAAGTGGTTGTTTTAGCTTTCTTAATTAGTTATTGTTATTTAGAAATGTAAAATATTCTATTATTATTTCCTTTTTTTCTATTATATTTTACCCTTCTGGAGATTATTATATGGAGGAATATTTATATAATGGATGAATCCTCTAAAGTTGAAATCATATATAATTTCAAAATAGTAAATGACAAGTAAATAACCATGTTTGATTCATATTTTTGGGTAAAGAAACTCTTCTTGATTTTTACTGTAATCATCTATATTTTTGCAACTAAGAATAAGGAAACTGTGGCTTGTTTCAGATTTTTAGAAGTTGTCTTTTCTGTGTTTACTGAAATGATTTTGGGGCAATAACCATTCTTTGTTAGAAAACATTAAACCTAAAGAGAAAATTCCATCCACCAGAGGACATTCATGTCCGCTTCTATGAGGTCAAAGATGGAATGATAGAATGGGAAGCCTTAGGTGACTTCCAAGCTTCTGATGTCCACAAGCAAGTGGCCATTTCGTTTAAGACTCCCAGATATAAAAATCTTGAGGTAAATATTATCTGAGTTGTCTTTGGTATAGATGTAAAACAGATAGAATTTGAAATGTCAGCTTAAGAGTTATAATTTGAAGTTGGCATGATACATGAATAGCAACTCAGTAAAGACCTTAGTTTGTTAGCAGTAAGGTAATCCATATGAAGGCATTACTTTTAACTTTCATTGACTCGGGAATCTCTTTAGAGAACCTTGCGTATTTCTTTAGTAGTTTTTTTTTATTCCATCTAGACTTTAAAGTAGAATTGTTTCCAGGTGTTATAGTAAGGGTAATATTGTGATTTCACTTTGAATTTGTTTGTAAGTAAATGCTAGTAAGTCCTTTTATACAAAAGGAAATTATAATAATAAATTAGTATTTTTATTGTAAGTTTATGTAACCATCTTTTTAGGTATAGCTAAAGTACTATTTGTGTCTTATTCTGCATTTGTAGATAGAGAACCCCGTAAAGGTGTACGTGCAGCTGTTGCGACCATCAGACAAGAGTACCAGTGAGCCACGGCCATTCCAGTATTTGCCTCTAGACTCAGGTAGGCCTTTCACGTCATTTAAGAGGCTAAAGAACAATTATGGGTTATTCCAGCGTATTCTTGGCCTGGACTCACCCTTGGCAGCTTCTACAACCATAGAAGACAGTCTTCGTCACAAGACACCTCAGTCTCCCAGATCAGGCTTTCTTGACAGTATTACACAAGAGGAAACAAAACCAACACCGCCATCATATATCAAAGTACCTTCACCTCCTGCAGCACAACCTCAGCCCCGGCCGCCCCCTTCAGCCTCACCCCCACCACTGGCTCAGCCGAAGACTCCTACTCCCCCATCACTCTCTCCTCCAATGGCAGGAGCTTTCCCATCACCAGGACAGAGTATTGATGATATCAAGCAGAGACTCACAGCTACCCTAGACAGGAGGAGAGCAGGTGCTACGTCACCCAAAGCAAATGTTGCCCAGCCAAGACCCTCACCCTTCTGGTCAGATGATGCTAGTGTGTATTCAGACCCAGACATGTTGGATGATGTCCTCAGTCAAGGTAGTGTGAATGACCTCCTATCTGCAGTAGGGGATGGATTTGCAGTTTATGAAGACATAACAGGTATATCTGATTCTGCAAACAACAATCCCCTGGGTGGGGATGCTGTTTATGGAGATGCATCATATGCATCATGCTATTCAAATCTTGAGTTTGTGATGGGTCAGGCTAGGACTGCAGCCACTCCAGGAACAACCACGGGGGGCAGTAATAAAGTAGAAGAAACACCTCCATCTTTACCCCCAAAGAAAAATCCAAGAGGTTCTACTATACAACAAGATGATGACTTTGGAGAGTATGGCACACCCTCTAGTCAACCTATACATCCAAATAAAGCTGCTTTATTATTAGAAAGAGGCTTCCGTCTGGGAAATATCACCAGTGTGAATAACACAAATCAGAATTCTGGTAATCATAGCGTAGATAATGCTTTATATTATGATCCAGGTGGGAGCCTTCAAGCGCCTTTAGGCTCGGCCTCAGAATGTGATGAACTAGATGATATGTGGGATGAAACGTCAAATCAGCCTCAGGAACGCACTTGTGAACAGTTGCCACGCACCGTCCTTGATTTGTTTGTATAATGTGACACCTTTTCCCATGGGCTGAGGGCACCTATTCAAGCCACAGGAAACAGTTAAAGAAGAAAAAGAAAAGATGAAAATAATTGGAGGGATTTACCAGAAAAGATTAATTTAACTTTTTTAAATGTACAAAATTGGGTGTATTTCATACTTCTATTACTAAGTCTTTTATGGTTGTTTTTTCTTGAAACTTGTCTTAAAAACATGTTCTTAGGTGTTTGATAAGAAAGCTGTGCAAGATTACCAGAAAAAAGAGACATTTCCTCTCTCAGCTGTAATTGCTCTTGCATTATGCACTTTTATCATGCCAGTGCATTTTCTTTGAGGCTTCAGTCCTGATAATTCCTATTCATATTGATGAGTGAAATGGCTTATGGGAACAGCTTTCAGTCAGGTGTTCGTCACATAGTATGGCCTTTGATCACTTCATTTAAGAATCTCGTACATATTTAGAAGCAATTTAGGCTCTGGAGGATCATTTATGGCTTCAAGATTCCACTTTGGGGTCTCTACCAATGTGGCTGAATTTCAAGTCTCTTTCCAGAGTGTTCCTATGAAATGATGTACTGTTTATATCATGAAACATTCATTGCTGAAGTTTGTGCTCATTTTTATCTCAAATGATCAACTATCGTATGTAGTTCATTCACACACCTTGTCAAAAAAAAAAAAAAAGATACTGGGGCTCAGTGTAGTTTATGCATTTTTTTTTTTTTTTAGTTTAGCACATGTCATGGAACTTTTGTTGGGTAACAGTGGTAGGTGTTTTGATTTTTGTTTAATTTTTTAAGGTGTTCAAAGGGATTTCAGATGTCTTGTATTTTGATTTGTCTAAAGGATAGATGAGAAGTGTGTAAAACAGATTACATATGATAGTTTTGTTTTGATTTTATGCCAACCATTTAGTTTGCCTGTTAAACTTGCTTTCATTAACATTTTATTTTCACATGCATTAACTGCTACAGAATTCTAGTCAGGGTTGATCAGGTTGTGGTGAATATTTAAAAGAAAAATGAGATTAATGTGAAGAACTGCCAGTGCATTCTAGGTTAGTATGCCTTTTTAACAAGAAAACAATAGAGAAAATAATGTCCTGTGCAATTTATCAACATTTAGGTACTAAGGGAACGTTTGTCACTATTCTCATTGAAAATAATGAAAAATGGGATAAAAGAAAGATAATATATTTATTTTGTAAAGATTGTGAAACACAAGTGATCCAGTACATTTTAATTAATAATTGAATGTGAAAAAGATATTTGTTTCACCAGTTTGGTGGAATATATTCTTAAATCATAAAAAAGAGAGAGAGAGAAAAAATCAGGATGCCAAAGTAATCATTTAGTATTCCTGTTTCTTTTTCTCAGAAATGAGATATTTTAAGAATCCTGAAATAATATTCTTATTGTAATTATAGTATGTAAAACAGCAGGAATTTTCAAATTCCTTATTAGTTGACATAATCATACTACTAATGTTACTTCTGGGGTAGCTAAAAGTTTCCGTGTTGTGAAAGAGGTGGTGTACAGATAGATGGAAAAAGTAACTCACCGCAAAGGGTTCCTAGGAGATCTGTCCTTCTGTTTAAATTATTATTCAGGTGAGATATTTAGGTGCTTTAAATAGTAATCTAGTCATTGAATTTGCTTGTCATAATGTGTGACAGATGTTTAACAACTGGCAACATATTATCTGGGAATCAGATAGGGTGGAGTAAGTTGTTATATATTAAATGAATCTTTTTGTGTGATTGAATTAGGTGCTCAAATACAGAGACATAAAACTCTCTTAAAGAACTGGAAGTGCAATTTCATTTGTGGTTAATATTTTAGCAGCCATGTTTCAAACTATTTGTTAAGCTGCTTGGATGATTATGACAGGAATAAGGGCAGTTAACAGAGGCCTTTTAAAGACTGCATAAATAATTGGCTACATAAACTGTGCAAGTCAGAACTCTTGTTTGCCTTTTTATAATGAATTTAGAAATCCCTTTAACCCACTGCAGTCAGGAAAATGTAATTTTTTCACTGTAGTTTTATTTTGTGACAGTCTCTACATATATATGGCTCCACAAGTGCTTAGCTACCAAAATTGGTAGACTTTCTGACCCCAATTGATTTTCTGTTTCCTAGAGTTTATGGGAGAAATATTTTTTAAATTACTGCTATTAGTATTGATGCTGACATCATTATCACAGACATAATGATTATTATATTGTTATTAACATTACTAATATCTGTGTAAGATAAAAGAGAATCTTTCCAAAAATCTAGAAAATGGGTAAATAATTTACTCTTGTGACTAAGTTCTTGTGGAACCATCTGTGTGTATTTATTAATTAATAAACCAAACTTACGGTGGACATGCCATGTACATACATGCTATCCCTGTTGGGATTGGGTTCAGATTAGAAAGTCTGCCCTATTTGATAAGCTCCAGTTATCTAGGAAAGTTTAACTATCTGCCTTTTATGTTGGTTTAAAAGACAGTATTCATGATTTACTTCTTCATATACTTTATTAAAAGTGAGAATATTTGAAATTTGGTTCATGTTGATCATATTTATGTTTATAGATTTTACATGGTACTGTTGCCATATTCCGATAAGAATATGTAATGTAAAAGAAATCAATGCTAGCCTTTGTTTTTTAAGTATAAAATATTTTATCTACCCTCAACATTATTGTAGCTGTATCAGTATCAACATACATTAGTTGGACTTAGAAGTGGGGCAAGAGTTTTGACAAGCACTGTACAATATTTAGGAATGGCTGTGTCTGTATGTGTGTGTATGTATCTATGCCACTGCTTGTGTGATAGCTGACTTGGTCCTTTTTTAGGAGCTAGTTGTCTTAAAAATCATTGATTCTCTGTATTCTTTATGTACAAGCATTTGAGTGGATGCAATTGAAATTTATTACAGAAAGGATAGGAATAAGTTTGTTGGAGAAAGGTCTCTAAGTTGATATGTTTTAGAATATAGTAGTAGGTAGTATAATGCAAATTTTTGTTTGTATGTTACAGACTTTTAAGATTCTTTATTTAATGAATTTTATCTACCAAGATAGTACAAGTGTGGCCACAATCACCCCTCCAACAGAAAATGAGTGCACAGGATTGGTTTTCTGGTTGGTGCTTTCTAATGTTGAAATTCAGTTGCAGGTGGAAGTGTTTTATTTTGTTTGTCACTTGGAGAGGTTAAAATATATATGATGGGGGAACTAGTCATAGTGTAGTGTGGAATCTTGTATTTGGTATTTTCTTTTTCTCATAGAACATTATACGTAGAAAAAAAATCTGAAGGTACTGTAGGATGTGTTCACAATCATTATATAGAACCGCCTCCCAAGCCGGACTTGGTCTGTGGGTACCACATCTTCATGATGTCCTTACCAAGATGAGTTGTTCTTGTCCAGTGATGTGAGGTCCAAGAAGTATAAAATGTGTGTTATATTATGCTTTCATTTGTTAGTGGATGAAGATTTAAGAGTTTTATTAGTTCAAGATAGTAATGTACTGTTTTTGACTTTTGCAGTTTCATTGCATGGTTTATCAATTTTCTATTAATGTCCTGAGCATCTTAAAAAAGAAAAACATGTTATTTCAGACTTTAGAGTTCAACATAGACTATGAAAGGCCTATGCTTGTACATGTGTTTCTCTGTAAGTGTTTAGATGAGTGTGCTCTCTTGGGTACTGTATGCCTGTGTTGACTTTTTTCTGCTTATTTTTTAAGGTACAAAAAATGTAAAATGTGGAATTCAGACTTTTCTTGATATGTGACTATTTAGCCTAAACTATGTGATGTACCACTGTTTTCTGGCTCTTATTGTAAGTAAACAAACAAATATATATTCATTTGACAAGTGGAATAAATGGAGGGGAACCAGGGTCATTGGGTGAACAGAGATGTACACAATAATTACAAAGATTTTTGTGGACATGTGCCTCACTTACATTAAAAAATACTTCATGCACAATGAAAGGACATTATATTTGCTCCTTTCTTCAGATACTTGACCCTTTATTTTTAATGATTGTTATAATTTGATAACTGAAAATTACTTATAATGTTAGTTTTACTAAGTTACTTATTATTTATTTTGAAGGGTTGGTCCTATCATGATTTTGCTCATTCATTCACTAGTGTTAGTGTACTCACTGAATGAAGCACACTTATTTATACACAGTTTATTATTTCAAATTCATGGACACACACGCACACGCATACACACACACGCGCGTGCGCGCTCTCTCACTCTCACTCTCACTCTCTCACTCTCACTCTCACTCTCACTCTCACTCTCACTCTCACTCTCACTCTCACTCTCACTCTCACTCTCACTCTCACTCTCTCTCTCTCTCTCTCTCTCTCTCTCTCTCTCTCTCTCTCTCTCTCTCTCTCTCTCTCTCTCTCACATTCACATCCATATTCATATTTATATTCATATTCATATTCATATTCATGTACATGTTCATATTGTATTCAGTCAGGTTCACACACATGTGTATGTGTACAGACACAGGCACACAGTCACAAAGATATATGTTTGTGAAAAACTGTTTAATTATGATTAAGAGAAAATAAATGGGACAGAAGTGATAATAGGTATATATAAAATCATATGGAATTGAGACATTTTTCTAAACTGTTAAATTCATTGCAAAGGTTTGATTATTTATGTCATGAAGGAAGCTTACTCTCTTTGGTTTTCAAAAACTAATTTTACTGTTTTATTTGGAGCTAAGTTGCAGTTTAAAATTCTTAAACATGTTTTGATGAATTGTATTTATTTTCTTGGTACTTATTTTCATGTAGATAGAAGGGAATACACAAAGAAAACAGTGGCCATATCATGGAAGTACATGCGGTTGTGGTAAAAGATTCATTGTTTAGATTGCTCAGCACTCATTGTTTTCATGATTTTGATGTACAATGTATAGATGTACTTTGAGGAATGGCTTAACATGTTGGAGATAGAATTCTGCTATATTGTCCTGGTAACGATCCCAATACTAGTCAGGTCAAAGGAAGAAGCTCAGAAGGAAGGATAACTGACAGATAGATTATTCTTGGAAAGTTGACAGGGTTTAGTCAGGAACAAGCAAAGGTATAAGTATGAAAGATGGAGTTGAGTTGTTAAAAATGTCTGATGTTTGCAATGTTGTATAATCACTGATAATGCACATATTAACACGTAGGTAGTTCATTAAGAGGTGCAATTTTATGATTCATTCATAAGAATATAAAAGTTTTGCCCCTACTTTTGCCTAGAATATTGAATTCTTTAAAATGTCTTCTGTATGTATTAAAAAATGAGTGAAAAGGAAATCAGTTTTTTGATAACTAGGGATATCTAAATCAGCTGAGAAGCAAATGTTGCATTTTTTATTATCTGTGAGTTTTAATGCAAAAGAAGAGTCAGGTTTTAGACATTTAAGACCTAAATTTATACCTCATGTTGGTGTTTATTTAATGTTGCCATAAATGACAAGTCATTAATTTCTGTTTTTAAACACTTCTTATTACTATTTCTTGTCAGGAAATTGCTTTCAGGAACATCAAGAAATCTGCCTTATTATTGGGTGATTATGTCTATTGTTGACTCCATTAGTGGGAAAAGAAGTATTTTATTTACAGAATAAAGTAGGGTTGAATTTAGCATGCTGTAGGTATTGTGGGCATTAAATATTTTAATTTTGATGTACACAAGTAATCATGGACCAAATCACCCCAATGTGATAGATCCAGTTGATTGAAATATAACAGAGTAGCATGCTTGTCTTTTTTTCCTGTTTATTTTTTAATACTGCAGGATAATGGGTAGCATAATGTGTGAACTACTGCAGTGTTTAGCAGACTTTACTGTAAACATTGTTTCAAACATTTTGGTACATATATTTATATTCATGGGTGTCACCTGTATCAGGCTCCAAACCCAGCTGGTGGTCAGGGTACTTGTCTCCATTGGCAGGGTATGATGGCTGGCCTCTTTACATCAGTTGTGCTTACAGTTAGGATGTTTTAGAGAATGTAGAGGTTTTTGAAACTAATAATTTTGTATGGTTTATTATACCTGACGTTTAAAAATCTATAGCATTTTGTAACAGGATTTAATTACCTTTAAGAAAGTTTGTTTTTGAGTAAAACATGAAAGGTTACATAGATGGTGCTTCATGCTTGTTACACATGCACCAAGTTATACATTATTCCGGCATACAAAGCTGGGTTCAAGTTGGCTATGTTAAAAGCATATCACATACCCAGGAAGCTAAAATATCTGATTTACCTTGTTATTTCTATATTGTAATAATAATAAAAATGTTGTTATTCTTCTTAAAACTGAATAGAAATATGCTGTGGTGTCATTTCTGTTTTTATTATGAATTTGCTCAGGCATTTACTTAAATTATTTATAGAGGACTGTAGATGTTTAGCCATTACCAAGATCTTGCTACTTAAATAAAAATGCAATGAATGAAAGCTTTATTAAAAGGAGCTTGTATTGTCACAAAAATTGTTTGTATGTATGAATCATTATTAGGAAATAAAATGTGATAAAAATGACAAGTGTTTCATACCTCTATGCAATTTAGCATGTTTTTTCTTATTTGTTACATTTTTTTGAATTACCCATTTATGCATGTTTTAGCAAATGCAGTTTGTATTTTTTAGTTGTGTTTAGAATGTCTTTATTTTACTTGTGTTTTTTTCAGCTTTTGATGTGATTTAGTATGATACTGATATTTTCCCTTTTCTTTATCTTTATAAGTTTTAAATGAGGCAGCAAAATGTTCATAAATTTTGTTGCCTCATTTTATGTTTCCTTTTGCTATTACTGTTTCTTGTTATCTAAATTGTATTTGAAATCATACTTAGATTGAATGTAACATATTGGTATATCCTTCACTTAATAGTAGAAGAAACAGTAATAGTTTTTTATATTTTGTTTCCAAGTTTTTGTATATTGAGATTTTCAGTTGCTGGTATTGATTTTTTTTTACTTTAACAAGTAGAGAATGTATTTTTATGAGATAGAAAGTTTTTCAGAATGATTTTATGTTTGTGTTTTTGTTTTTGTATTTAAAAATTAGATATTTTTTAAGTGTTATGCATGATAGTTTTTGAAGTATCCATTTGTATTTTTAATTTTTTATGTAATTTATTGATATGCATGAACCTTTTTAAAGATCACTTTCACATTTATTTCCTTTCTGTGTATATTTGCATGGTTTGGCTTTTACATGCATGCCTGTTGTGTTTCATTCTAGATCCGCAGTACCTAAAGAGAAAAATGGCCAAACTTGGCAACAGTGCAAATACAGAGAAGATTAATCGTTACCTTGTAGAAAACATGGCTGGCACGGGTAAGTTTCTCCTGATGTTTTCTGATATGTGATGTTGTTGCATGTGTACCAAAAAGATTGACTGATAGCTGTTTGAGTGAACAGTATTCTTGGACACAGAATTCAATATGGGAATGTGAGTCTCAACTATTTAATGGAATTAGTAGGAGGTTGTTGCAAAAGGGAAATATTTCTTGGTGTCATCGACTTAAAAGCAGCATTTTCTTTTATTTTGTGAATGTATGATACTTGTGGAATTAGAAATATTATTATATTTTAGCACCAATATAATTTTTTACATTTTGGTATATACTTCAGATTCATATAGCATTTAATTTGATGATTTTATATTCAGATTTTAGTAGTAAAAAAATTAGATTAATTTTAGGCAAAGTAGTAAGCCAAATGCATTTTGTAGTTCTTGACATTATTTATATATATCATATATACATATATATATGATAGATATATGGTATATATATGATAGATATATATATGATAGATATATGGTATATATATAATATATATATATGATAGATATATGGTATATATATGATATATATAATATATGTATATTGATTATATGTTAAAGTCAGAAGTAAAAATAGAAGTAGAAAAAAATGCAGTGATTTATAGTCATGTTTGATTAGCCTATGCATAGTTCTATAACTGCAAAGGCAAACATACAATAAAATCTCATTGCCCACATATAAACCAAGCAGTGTCATGGTGAAGAACACTGTGTCTGACTCCCATAGTTCCCTTGATGATTATGACCAAGATGATGATAATTCCTGGCTCAAGTGTGGATGGAGGTCATGATATTATAGTCTTAATTTTGAGTTACTGCCTTAGTTATTAGTCATTCTGATTTTAACCATACACCCATCAGATGGCAAAATCTACAGTTTATTTGATAATGTTACAGATACAATAACATATACTGCAAGACATTTTTTTGACAGACTTTCTTTTTCAAGAATGTTTCACTTTTCTTGGCATGGCCTTAAAGGATTTATATATTGTACTCCAGTGTTGTCCAAACTTGTACCCCCCTTTTAGCTCCAACCATTACTGTACTGTACTCCTCAAGGCTTATCAAACACAACTGTATTTGGAAAGACAGTGCAAATTACATTATTTTGTGAGTGCATGCCTATTTGTGTGCAAATGTGTGTTTGTATGTATGTATGTATGTATGTATGTATGTATGATTGTATGTTTCATAATCTTGGTACCCCTTTGAGAAATGCTGTGAAATGCAGTTTGGACAACACCGGTGTAGATAACACTTGCAATCTTACCTTTAGTCATGGTGCTCAAAATCTTTGCTTCCACTGTCTAGCATGTAAACAGTAAAATTGATTGGCTGAGACTGTGAATACAGAGTGAAAAGTGTATGAAAGATTTGGCCATAGTATATAACACCTGCTTTAGAATTACTCTCATAGATTATAGTTAAAGCCTAGAAAAATGAATGATGATAAAGAAAAGTACTAAAAAAATCATCCATTTTAATAATATAGTAAGCAGGAAACATAAGATAATATTCTAAAGAGAGAAGAAAAGCCAAAACACTTGCAAACTGTCTTTGGGTACTTATGAACACTATAAGTCATTTATGGATTTTGTGTGCACTGTGGTTAAAGTAGAGTTAAAATGCCCATTGCCAAAAAACCTAAATAGGCTTGCAAAGTTATTAAAGAAGAGACCAAGAACACATGTATCACTTAAATCTCTGGCTTGATACATTCACTTTGAATAAACACCAGTACCCATATCTTGAAAATGCCCTATCTTCAGTATACGGGGACCGAGGTGCAGCAGGCCAAGGGCAGGTCTCTGGGGCTGTTCCACGACCCATCAGAGTAGCCTCGCGCTCCTCAAGACTCTCGGATAAGATAAAAATCGAGCCTACAGGTGAGAAACACTTTCTTGGGAGTTTTGGAGCCTCTCTTCTTTTTGCTTTTCCATTTTTATTTCCTTTTAGAGCAGACTGGTAAAGGGGTTTTAGGTGGAATTATGGTGTGCACTTTTGAGGATACACCAGAGTAGCTCCTTTGCAAGATTAAGATGCTTCCATTAAACTGAGCTTTGCTTTATCTTTTGCTATGTTTAACACCAAACTTTTATTTTCTCTGTCAAATGGAGGTTCACTTTTCGAATGTAGTTAACAATTTTGAAAAATCTCAGAAAATCATAAATAAGTACCCTAAACAAGGACAGGTCCACATACCACTGGCATAGGACGAAATACCAGTAAGATAGATTCAAATTAATTGCATCATTGCACATGTTTATTCCATATTGATTGCATCATTACATGTGTTTAAAGTTTATCCTAAATGGTAATTTAACCTGTTTGGATGACATCTGTTCTTGTCATGAAGCATTGAGTTCATATGTGAATGGCAAGTATCCTTGCTGCATGTGGTCAAATCTGCTTGATGCCATGAAATTTTGTAACCTTTTTTAGCCAAGTATAACCTTCTAAAGTAGGCTTAAAGTCTATTATTAGTCTCTTTCATTGAAAAATTAAATATGCCAGAACCATTAACGGTGAAGAAAACACCTTTGCTTTTAATTTTTCAGTTGAGTGGCTTGTGCCTAATGTGAGTCTCAGGTTGCTGTGGTTAAAAGCTGTTTTTTATTATTTTGAAATAAATTTTTGTGCTAGATCTGTTCTTGCTTTCCAAATCACTGAATACTGACAAGTTTCTAAACTGAGACTTTGTAGAGGCTGAATTGAATGAGATGTAAAAAAAAAAAAAAATGCAGTGTTGTGCTGAGAACCTTACTGTGGCTTATCTGAAAAGATTTCCTAGAATTATATACTCTGGCTAAGAACTTAGTAATAAAGTATATAATTTACTTAGGCATAGTTTTAGTATAACTTTCCCTTCAACTCAGATGATAAGACAATAATGCCATGTTCAATGTAATAAAAGTTTATCTATTGTCTTTATACATAGATGGCTCTATAAATGTTTAGTCACCAAAGAGTCAACTATTAGTCATACCTATCTCGTCTGTTTACCCTTTTCCTTCATTTTTTGAAAGCTTCATATTTGTTATTTTATTGTCTTTGATGTTATTAATATTTTAATAACAGTTCAATAATCATAATATCAATAAGAATAATAACAATGTCAGTATTAAAAGTATTGGAAGAAAAACACATTTTCCTACCAATTCAAGGAATGGGGAAATCAGGATCGGTCACTAGGGCCTACTGATAGACTCCTTGTTGGCTGAGCACACGTGGAACCATCTGTATGCAACAAAACTCACTAAAATCAAAAGGGGACAGTACATAAACCCGCAGACATTGGGTTAACCCAATGTCCATTTTAATTTTAATATATTAATTGTGCTAACACAGAGATGTTTCCTCAAGAAGCTTAGTCACCAGAGTGTCAGTTGTCAGTCCTACTTATCTCACCAGTTTACTTTTATCCTTGATTTTTAGAAAGGTATTCACTGGTCACATGTTACAAATAGACAATAATACTCTAGTCAGGGCTGCATGGTATGACATGACGAGTAAGTCTCAACTTTTACATTTCACTGATAGCATCAGCTATGTGTTAGTTACCACATATAATTAAGGGGTTTAGAACACCTGCAGGACTGACCTGTGTTGACCAGCTGAGGTCACTCATCTACAATTATAATAACGGTATCACCACTAATCAGCCATGATTTCTGAATCCTTAAAATATCTTTATAACTATAAGTTTCTTGTGAAAATGGCATGCTACCACCACCATATAGTTTGACAAGCATTTTGTTCTCCCTTGCCCTTGAAATATCAACACATTCACAGCCTAATGTTGGGATCTCCTGAAACTTGCTGTTTAAGGTTAAGAAAAATGTTTGCTTCTTCTCTTTCCTCGCCATTAGTGTTAGCAGCTTGCAGCATCTCTACTAGTTTTATGAGCACACTTGTGCCCCTGCCCACCCTCCCACACATGTAACCCACATGCACCCACATCCACCTACACACCTAACCATCCACACCTCCACCTACACACTTGCTGATCCACACTTAAACCTACACACATATCCATCCATACCTACACCACCATACATACCCATCCACACCTAAGCCTCCACACATAACCATCCACATTTACACCTACTAATATACCCATCCACACCATTCATACCTACCCACACTTAAATCCACATATCAAACTTTTCACACGCACTCCCCCTACACATATGCCCCTATACACACTCACTTGTTCCCACTTACACCTACACCCATGCCCACACTCATACCCTTACACATCTACAACCATGCTAACATTCACACCATTCACATATATAATCACAAAAATAAGCACATATACTACACTCATACCTACCTACACCCATACACCTGTACCCATCCACACATATAGCCACACACACACCCATATACACCAATATCTTTATACACCAAAATCCATGCCCACATATATACATATACATACACATATGCATACATGTATGTGTATATATATGTATATATATGTACATATATGTATATATATGTATATGTATATATGTGTATATATACATATATATGTATATATATGTATATATATTTTGTATATACATATATATCCCCTTGGTGCTGGGTGACGCCGATCGGCGTGTAAACAAAGCGCTCGAAAGCTGGCGTGCAACCAAACGAGCCGGCGGTGCGCCAAAGCGCGGCGAGCCAGTGATTCGGGCTGATGTCCCCTACTCGCCACCTTTGTTTGCTTAAGCGTAGAGTTTATTTTTTGTTTTGTACACCCGGCGCCATTGGGATATATATATATATATATATATATATATATATATATATATATATATATATATATATATATATATATATATATTTATATATTTATATATATTTATATATATATATATATATATATATATATGTATATGTATATATATATAAAATTATATATATATAATGAATATACAATATGTGTGTGTGTGTGTGTGTGCGCGCGCATGCGAGCGTGTGTGCATGTGCGTGCGTGTGTGAATAATATAACTGTGAATGTTTGGATTTAGCAGTAATAGTTGAATCTTCCACAGATGTGGGCTCTCCCCTCTCCCCTGGGGGACAGGTGTCCCCTGCTCCCCCTGGTGTCATGGGTGGACATGCTGTGAAGCCTCCAGTTTCACCACAACACTATGGTGGAGGCACTATGTACACAGTGTCACCTCCTGGTCCAAGTCCAGGCCAGCCAGGAATGTATTACCCCCAGCAGTCTCCTGGTAATGCTAATAACCTGGCTATGCCAGTGGGTGCCAGCCCAGCAGCTGGAGCCACACGAGTACCATCGCCACACCAGCACTATTACATGAACCCGGGCATGAGACCACCTTACTCACCAGAGGCTCCAGTTGGTGAGTTTGCTGGAAGTTGATGTATTTATCATTTTCTTCAAGTGAAGCTGTAACTGCTTCAGACCTTGGTTGTGTGTAAGTTTACCAAACTTTTAGTATTCTTTGGTGCACAAGCCACTACCACAGAAAGGGGTGCACCCTAAGATTAACATCCTCTTTTTTATACATGTGTGGTTAGTGTCTGTAAGAAGAGATCTAAGAGCAATAGGGTGAAAATATTATCTTATGTAATACTAAAGAATTGTAGAATTTATTAAATGTCTTCATTTTCAGGTGCTGTTGCTGTGAGTACTGGTTACACTCCAGTTGTATCAGACCCACAAGGTCCAGCTATGTCCCAGTTATTGGACTTGGATTCTCAAAAGTGTATTGACCAGAATCCCATTGAGCTAGATATAAGCAACATAAATTCTGCTGAATTGCGGTCATTACTACCCAGTGAAAATGACTTTAATGCATCCATGGTGGATGCACATTTATCAGAGAATCTCTCTTCCACTCTCAACATCATAGATCAACCACCACACCTTATAAACAAGCTGAATAGCAAATCCAGTTTGAACTCGGGTTCTTACATAGCCTATATGCAAAACATCCCACACAATGTTCCGCCTCAGGCAAAGCAAGAGGGTTCAGCACCTGCAACGGGCTCTGACAGCTTCAACAACCTCAAGAGTGAAATAGAGCTCCTCAATCAGCTCACATCCAAGCACTGATGTTTCTTTTTCATATCTTACTGTTTGACACTTTATGCATAACAGTTATTGGTATCACAATTACAATTATTACTAATAATTGATGTAGAACATTTGTTTGAAAATAGAAACAATAGGTTCAGATGATAGCCATTGGCTATAAAACCTGCAATGTAAACACACATGGGTACTGAATAACTTTGCATAAGGAATTCACTAGTATACATTGTAGTTCTCATTCTGTCTTGTTCTTTTTTGTTTGTGAAGACCAGTTTTTTTCTGTACTTATAGTACCACAAATGTAGAATTTGAAATTAGTGTCAGATAGAAAGAAAGCAAACTCAATAAGAGAATATTCAAACGGAGCTGTATAGAAACTGTCACATTGCTGAAGTAGAAGGGAAAAGTGCTGCAGAAATACTTTTTAGGAATTGATAAGACTCAGCTGGTATAGCTTATATAGGGTCAGGTTGATTATGCTTTTGTTCACTAAGTCTATAGTTTTCTATATAAATTTTACATGTGAAAGTTGTTGATATTTTTGTACATAAACTGTTGGGAATGGAGTAAAACTTTATTCCTGGTTTGCATTACCTGATATTAGGAACTATAGGAGCCTTGTGCTAGAGGTGCTCTTCTGTCACAAAATGTTTACTCTGTAAGAGTTGAGAATTCATTGACTGTAGCCTGCATCAGGTACATTTTCTTTTGCAGTCAGTCAGTCTTTATATTGTTTTGGGTTGCATATATTAATTTTTTTATATTCTTTGGAAGCATATTTTTTTTAATATTGTAGTTACTGCTGATACTGTAAAGTTACTGATGGCCTTCGTCTTGCCATGATGATCTCGTTTTTTTTCTTCTTTTGCTTTTTCTATTTCCTTCAGTAGTTAGAAGAGTTATAAAGAACAATTAGGTTGATTACTTGTGTAAAGAGGAAAACTTTTAAAAGAATTTATACAGAAGAGTTTATTTTAATATAATTAGGATTTCCTTGTTACATATTCAAAAGTTTATATTAAAATATGGTTGTATATTTTACTGTTCAGTAAGCTGAGCTTCTTAGAAAGTGTAATTTACAAAATTTTAAGAGACATTCTATGAAAATATAAATGTCAGGCCAAAGTAGAAGAGACATGAGCTTAGATATCCTCTGTAGCTCTGTCTTATGCCTGATAATTGTTCCTTTTATTGTACTTTTTAAATAAGTAATTGTGGAAATAGACCTTTAGTGCAAAGACAAAAGTTGGTGCAAGAAAAGTCATTAGTGCAGTTGGTGATAATCTGTTACAGGAATTGGTAGGAAAGTGACAATACTCTATAGTAGAAGGGAATAAGCTAACATTCCATATCATCTCGTGTTACTGTGCTAGTAAAAAGACAGAGAGAGTAAGAAAAGTTCTCCAGAACTGGATCACAAACTTTCAATGCCAAAGGTTCACTTTAAAATAAGATACTTTTGAAGTTTCAGGAAATGTAAGTTGGTTGTTACCTTGTCACCACATTGAAGAAAGAGTCTTAGAATTCGTTTTTTTTTAATGATTATTATTATTATTATTATTTCATAAGTTGTATTCCCATGGTCCTTACCACTAACATTGTGTGTGTGTGTGTGTGTGTGTGTGTGTGTGTGTGTGTGTGTGTGTGTGTGTGTGTGTGTGTGTGTGTGTGTGTGTGTGTGTGTGTGTTTGTACACATATATCTCTATGTATACATATATTTATATTGTATATATATATGTATAATATATATATTTGTATATTTATACACATACATACATACGCACACGCGCGCACACACACACACACACACACACACACACACACACACATATATGTAATATATATATATATATATAATATAATACATAATGCATAATACATAATACAAATACACACACACACACACACACACACACACACACACACACACACACACACACACACACACACACACACACACACACACACACACACACACACATGTATGTATGTATGTATATATATACACTTACACATATACACACCCCCATGTATAATGGGATATAAAAATATGTGCATGGAAGTACAATTTAAGTTATGCTTTGGTGAAAAAATAAAGTGTTAAATGGTGGAATAAACTCAAAATTTAGTGTGATGAATTCTGATATTATTTTCTGTCTAGTTAGCTTAAAAATCTAGTTCATGTTTTATGTATAAAATGAGGCTTCTGACTCCTTGTTACAGAACTGTACAATACATACAAGATTTAGCTTTTATATGCAGACTTATGTATTATGTATATCTATTTCATTATTACTGAAGTCCTGCCTTTTGAAATAGTTTTGTAGTGGATGTTCAGCAATAGGTACCTAAGAGTCCACATTGTCTGTTGACATTTCCTATATTTGGAGTTATTATATTTCTATATGTATCAGAAATCTGTAGTATTTGAAAATGTTGGTGAAGTTTGTGAAATGCTGACTGTATGTGAATATGCTGTTTGTCATAAACAAGATTTTTTTATTTGCTTTTGTTTATTGTATTCCTTATAAATCCTCATTGTGACCTGATGTGTAAATTTCATTTGTCGTTTGTATTGGTTCATTTGGTAACAAAGGTGTTATTAACTCCCATGTTGAGAAATGACAAGATCTATGAACGTTTGAGACATCATTGCAGGTTTTGAGCTTCCTGGAAAACTATTTGATCAATAGAATTTAATGATACTGCCAAATAATTAATTTCAACCTAATGTTTCTATTGTTTTCCTCGCCCTTCTACTCACTCTCTCACTCACTCACTCTCACTCTCTCTCTCTCTCTCTCTCCTCAGCTGTTTGTTCTCCTTTCTTGTCTTGCTCTCAGTTCTTCCCTCTCCTCGCTTCTCTTCTCTTGTCATAGCTCTTAGCTTGTCTTAACTCGTAGCCCTCTTTCTTCTCACTCCCCATCCCCTTTCCTACTACTACAACTACTACTACTATTGTTACCATTATTATTATTATTATTATTATTATTATTATTATTATTATATATTCCATTGTTTGGTGCTTAATTAATTGTTTATTAGAAAATGTTGAAACTACGCATTTGAAAACTATTTTCTTATTTTTTATATTAATAGATAGCTAGTGATATCTAATAGATATTTTGGAATGGTGTAGGGTTAGGGAGAAACCAAAGTACTTTCACAAGTTCATATAGAGTTTGATAAGTGGCATTATTTGTTGTGGATTTTATGTTATTTTGATAAACAAGTATGTGAAATTCAAGGTGTAATAATTTAATTTCAATAAACGCTGTGTATTTACAATATTTTTAATCATTATTATTGTTATTATCCTGTCAGCATTTATTAGGGATAGGCCTGTTCATTTACTTTTTTTCTCCATATTTCAATTAAGCTTGCCTAACTCGTCTTTGACCTTTGACAGATAAACAGTGTTTGGTTATTATTAAAATTGTTATCATTATCATTGTTATTTTTAATTTTCTTTGTCACAAAATACGTGCAAAAAATATTTTATTTTGTGTATGGTAGATTACGGTACCCAAATTTTATTAATGACCTGACATGTATATATATATATATATATAATTTGAATTATAGATAAAATATTACAAGTATCATCATTGTAGCTAGGTTTGTTTCCATATCAATATTTGAACTTCCTATTTTCATATATTATATTCATCTGAAAGACTATTTTTTGTACAATTCAAAGTAAAATAAATAATGCAGTACACTTGCGTAAGATATTGCGTAGTGGTTTGGCAAAGGTACTCAAATATTTCAGTTTATTTGTACTTTAACCTGAAGACAGAGTGGCACTGAAAAGCCCACAAAATCCTTGTTTGTGGATGTAACTGTAAAACAAATAAATGTGATATGTGATATGAAGTTTCATTTCTTCATTTGTAGTTCACTTTTATCTGCTGAACTGAGGCAGTACTCAGTTTGAGATTTGGTTGAAAGGTAGAAATTTGAGAGAAGAAATATATATCCCTTTTCATAAATTGCGGTTTCCCATTGTCTGTGTACTCAAATCTGATGGTAACAGTACTGGCTTAGTATTAAAGTTGTCTTCATTAGCACACTCACTCTATAAGAATTGTAAAAGAATATTAGCAATATTGCTTATCATTTATGATTTTTTTTCTTTTACTCATATGTTGCTTTCGGGCTGGGTGAATGGGTGGATTGCTTTCTGGCTGGGTGGATGGGTTGGAAGCTCTCTGGCTGGGTGAATGGATGAGTGGCTCTCTGGCTGGGTGAATGGATGGGAGGCTCTCTGGCTGGGTGAATGGGTGGGAGGCTCTCTGGCTGGGTGAATGGGTGGGAGGCTCTCTGGCTGGGTGAATGGGTGGGAGGCTCTCTGGCTGGGTGAATGGGTGGGAGGCTCTCTGGCTGGGTGAATGGGTGGGAGGCTCTCTGGCTGGGTGAATGGGTGGATTGCTTTCTGGCTGGGTGGATGGGTTGGAGGCTCTCTGGCTGGGTGAATGGATGGGTGGCTCTCTGGCTGGGTGAATGGATGGGAGGCTCTCTGGCTGGGTGAATGGGTGGGAAGCTCTCTGGCTGGGTGAATGGGTGGGAGGCTCTCTGGCTGGGTGAATGGGTGGGAGGCTCTCTGGCTGGGTGAATGGGTGGATTGCTTTCTGGCTGGGTGGATGGGTTGGAGGCTCTGTGGCTGGGTGAGTGGGTGGGAGGCTCTCTGGCTGGGTGAATGGGTGGATTGCTTTCTGGCTGGGTGGATGGGTTGGAGGCTCTCTGGCTGGGTGAATGGGTGGGAGGCTCTCTGGCTGGGTGAATGGGTGGGAGGCTCTCTGGCTGGGTGAATGGGTGGGAGGCTCTGGCTGGGTGAATGGGTGGATTGCTTTCTGGCTGGGTGGATGGGTTGGAGGCTCTCTGGCTGGGTGAATGGGTGGGAGGCTCTCTGGCTGGGTGAATGGGTGGATTGCTTTCTGGCTGGGTGGATGGGTTGGAGGCTCTCTGGCTGGGTGAATGGGTGGGAGGCTCTCTGGCTGGGTGAATGGGTGGATTGCTTTCTGGCTGGGTGGATGGGTTGGAGTCTCTCTGGCTGGGTGAATGGGTGAGTGGCTCGCTGGCTGGGTGAAGGGGTGGGAGGCTCTCTGGCTGGGTGAAGGGTGGGAGGCTCTGTGGCTGGGTGAATGGGTGGGAGGCTCTGTGGCTGGGTGAATGGGTGGGAGGCTCTGTGGCTGGGTGAATGGGTGGGAGGCTCTGTGGCTGGGTGAATGGGTGGGAGGCTCTCTGGCTGGGTGAATGGGTGGGAGGCTCTCTGGTTGGGTGAATGGGTGGGAGGCTCTCTGGCTGGGTGAATGGGTGGGTGGCTCTCTGGCTGGGTGAATGGGTGGGAGGCTCTCTGGCTGGGTGAATGGGTGGGAGGCTCTCTGGCTGGGTGAATGGGTGGGAGGCTCTCTGGCTGGGTGAATGGGTGGGTGGCTCTGTGGCTAGGTGAATGGGTGGGAGGCTCTGTGGCTGGGTGAATGGGTGGGTGGCTCTGTGGCTGGGTGAATGGGTGAGTGGCTCTCTGGCTGGGTGAATGGGTGGGTGGCTCTCTGGTTGGGTGGCTCTGTGGCTGGGTGAATGGGTGGGAGGCTCTCTGGCTGTGTGAATGGGTGGGAGGCTCTGTGGCTGGGTGAATGGGTGGGAGGCTCTCTGGTTGGGTGAATGGGTGGGTGGCTCTGTGGCTGGGTGAATGGGTGGGTGGCTCTCTGGCTGGGTGAATGGGTGGGTGGCTCTGTGGTTGGGTGAATGGGTGGGAGGCTATCTGGCTGGGTGAATGGGTGGGAGGCTCTCTGGCTGGGTGAATGGGTGGGAGGTTCTGTGGCTGGGTGAATGGGTGGGAGGCTCTCTGGCTGGGTGAATGGGTGGGAGGCTCTCTGGTTGGGTGAATGGGTGGGTGGCTCTGTGGCTGGGTGAATGGGTGGGAGGCTCTCTGGTTGGGTGAATGGGTGGGTGGCTCTGTGGCTGGGTGAATGGGTGGGAGGCTATCTGGCTGGGTGAATGGGTGGTAGGCTCTGTGGCTGGGTGAATGGGTGGGAGGCTCTCTGGCTGGGTGAATGGGTGGGAGGCTCTGTGGCTGGGTGAATGGGTGGATGGCTCTCTGGCTGGGTGAATGGGTGGGAGGCTATCTG